AACCTCCCCTCCAACTCCGTTTGGCGGAGGTAATTACGACAGACGTACTCATCATGCATCAAAACACTCGCCCATCCACACCGATGCTCGATAAATCTTGCTTCTCTCCTTTTTTCATAATGCGCTAATGCAGCACATCTACACGCTTCACTGTGAAGTCTACAGACTCTACACTAATAATGCTGCCTGGCGTCACAACACATTACTGCTACTGCGCTAACACGAGCATGAGCGAGAATATACACTGACTCGATACATTAGCGTCCATAGACATGGGTTTTTTGCTATGTAATGGTAGAGTACCCCCCCTTCACCCTTTCCGATCATATTCCTCGAACGTCCTTCGAAACAAAAACAAGTCGTTTAGCTATAGTATGGTAGTTTACCTTATAGTTGTCTCAAATTTTTTTCAGAAACTCAAAAGCAATACAACCCCTTACAAACTTAAGCCTCCTAAGAAGCAATTATTCAACAATATTTTAATAAAGTTCCCCTTGAAAAATAAAGCACAAAATACACCCAGAGAGAATCGAGTTACAGAGATTTCTCGAACCCTGGACGAGCCTATTATAATATAACTCTGATCCAGAAAAAGGCTTTATCAGCCGCTTAATCTCATCCCCTCTCAGCAGCCCCCTTCCCTTAAAAGGTTAGATCTGTCGTTGTGTAGGCGCACACACCACGGTATAATCTCTCCTGGTACACGAGCGCGCCTCTGTCTCAGCCCACCCCGAGCTGGAACGGTGATACGGAGACGGTAAGGAAGGGATTTCACGAACGCGCGGAACCATTCGTCAACCCTTCTCTCTACTCTGTGTTGTCGTGACCCCGCGTGCCAGCATCTCCAGCGCACATGCTCCTATAGTTACACTCCACTCAATTACGGAGTACATTCCGACAATCGGTCTGACCACGTCGAGGGAAGTGAACCCACCCCCCAGCATCGTGTCGCGCTAAGAGTAAGAGCACCCTCACTCAAACGCCAATTTCCCGCGATTCTCTCGCAATCAAACGCTACTGCTTCTGCTGCTTCCGCGATACTAGCAGCTAGACTGACTCCCATCGAGTCGTCGAGTATCGACCTGCGGCAGACGCCGAGACGCGCGGAGGCAGTCTATTAACTAGCATCCACAAAGGTGACGATTCATCTCAGAGACGGAAGCAGTTCTATTGAGCATGCATCGATCTACTGCTCCGCGGACCCATCCACTCCCGGATCACAGCTAATCTATACCGCAAGCACACGCCTACTGTCGCCCGCCACTCCTAAACACATTAAAAAGGACGGCTTTGTTAGGCGGAAAATCCTATCCCGGGGTAGCTCCAAGAAACAGTATTGCTAGGGCTAGAATACCGTAGTTGTATAGACAATCCGTCGCACAGCCTGGTCGGGCTAATCCCGGGGGAACAATCAATGCGCGGAACAAACAAAAAAATCGCACTCGACGGTCGATCTCTCGACGGACGCGCCCAGCTTTTCGACATTTTTCTCGGTCCACCAGGAAGTCGTCGCAAGCCCGTGTAGCCGAGTTTCACCCACTAGTGTAGTTGCTAGTCGTGTCTTTGTGCTCGCCAGCACGCTTCTGCGCGTGAGACGCATGTCTTGCTGGCGCTGATAGGGTCTATGTCCCCCAGGGTACTGCCGGAACGTACACTGGGTACGGTCGCGGTAATACCTGAGACGTACCCATGGTACAAATACTACTATCTAATATGCTCCGACCGTACCTCCCTTTACTACTCCACTAAGCATGCTAGGGAGTCGCCTACGCCTAACCTCCTAACGCCTAACACTAACCATATCAGCTAGATTGTGGGTTACCAAGGGTACGTTACGATATACCGGAACCGTACCCAGGAACTGTCCGGCAGTACCCTGGGGGACATAAGACGCTTATCAGCCTTGCTGGCCGACAACCATTCTTGCTTTTTTCCCAGCTTGCCAGATTCTCCTCACTACCCGCGGACTACACCCGCTGGTCATGTACGTATGTATTGTCTACTATGTGGTACAGTGTTTGATGTGTGGTACTGTATAATGTGTGGTACTGTGTACTGTGTGGTACTGTGTACTGTATGGAACTATGTACTGTGTGGTACTGTTTCACTTAGGGCGCTATGTACGGTAGTGTATGGAACGTGTGTACTTGTGTGTAGCTCGTGTGTACTGTGTGGTACTGTGTACTGTGTGGTACTGTGTACTGTGTACTGTATGGTACTGTGTACTGTGTGGTACTGTGTACTGCGTACTGTGTACTGTATGGCACTATGTACTGTAGTGTATGGAACTGTGTACTGTGTGGTACTGTGTACTGTATGGTACTGTGTACTGGTACTTTGTGGTACTCGTTACTGTGTACTCGTGTGTACTCGTGTACTGTGTACTGTGGGGTACTGTGTGTACTGTATTGGTACGTGCGGTACTGTGTATCCTGTAATGCACTATGTTACTGTAGTCGTATGGAACTGTGTACTGTGTGGTAACTGGTGTGTACTGTAGATGGTACTTGTGTACTGTGTAGCTGTGTGGTACTGGTGTACTGTGTAGCTGTGTACCTGTGGTACTGTGTGGACTGCGTACTGGGTACGTTGTCAATGGCAGCTATGTAACTGTAGTGTAGTGGAACTGTGCTATGTGTGGTACTGGTGTACTGTATGGACTGTGTACTGTGTTACTAGTGTTGCAATCGGTTGCTAAATTTCGTAATCGATCCATCGGCTGGACCTCAAGTAACCGATATCGTTACAATCGGTTTACTCGGGTGCTTGAATGCCTGCGTGTGCCGTAACGTCCGGTGCATGTACGTGTGTGGATATTATGTCTTGTTAGCCGCTGTTTACTGTTGTTTGCACGTGTTTACTAGACTTGTGTATACATGTACTGATTGTTGCCATCAACTTTTCCAAGTTTTCTTGTT